CCTCTGTAAGAGCAGCCAGTGCTCTTAGCCACTGATCCATCTCTCCAGCCCCATTGATATGTTCTTTTAAGAATACAGTTTGGCTAGGCGTGGTAGCACACACCTTTAGTCCCAGCACTCAGGAGGCAGAGACAGGCAGATCTCTATGAGTTCAAGCCCAGCCTGGTCTACATAGTGAGTTCCAGGACAGCTGGGGGTATAGAGAGACCCTGTCTCAAAAAGACACAGTTTGACAATGTCTATCAACTTCACAAATGCACATGTCTAATTTAATAGTCTGGCCTCGGTTGTCTACATTTGAAAAGCCAAACTCTGCACACAGAGGTATGTCATAAGTGTTTGCTGCATTGCTTATGGATGACAGCAAAAATAAGAAATGACTGAAGTCCACAGATATGGGGAGTGCTTGGATACAGCATGGTAGCCCCACTCATAAGTTTAAAAAGGCAGGAGGAAGGCCAATAGATGCTTCACAGAAAGACCTCCAACATGGCGGGCCAAGCAAGTGCTGGAAGAGATGAGGGACAGGCAGAATGCTCCTCCACCCGCTGGCTGTGGGGAGGACAGGAAAGGACTGTTACTGTTACGGAGTTTGGGAAAAAGCCACCAGGCTCAAATAAAATTTTAATTGGTCAAATTTATTAGGGCTATAGCCATCCAGGTGGTCCCTTAGTCAGGTTTAGGACCCACAGCTCCGAGGGGAGGGTGGAACTAACTTTTAAAGGCAAAAACCACAAATACCATAGGAATTTCATCACACATGAGTAATACCAGGTGGTCCTGACTATGGTCAAGACACCCAAGTTAGCAGATAAGCAAACTACAGAGGCCAAAGCAAACTTGTGTTAGTCCTTCTCTTAACGACGTATAGAGACCTTGGCAGTGAGGCGCTTTCTGATTAAGTGCAGCTACTGTGTCTTTAAGTACTTTTGTAATAATTGGTAACCTACTTTCAGTTCTGTTTCTGTGATAAAATACCCTGAGAAAAAGCAACTTAGGGGAGAAATGGTTTTACTTCAGCTCCGGGTCACAGACTGTCAGAGCAGAGAAGCCGACATGGCAGGAGCTTGACCATCAGTCAGCACAGTCAGAACTGAGGGAGACACATGCACGGCTCCACTCAGCTCACTTTCTCTACTCTCACACAATTCAGGAACCAAACCTAGGGAACGGTACTGCCCAGTGTGGGCTGGGTCTCCCCATGTCAATTAATGTAATCAAAACAATCCCCCTCCCAAGATAGGTCCACAGGATCCAGATGATGCCTCATTGAGACTCCATTCCCAAAAGATTCTAATTGTGTTGAGTTGGCAATTAAACGTAGCCATCAAGATGCACATGTTCACACCATCTTTAAAAAATAAATAATTAACTGTGGAAATAGACTGTATTTTCTTTATAAAGTAAATATGCACTTACCACATGAGCCAGAAACTGCACACCTCAGCATTTATCCCAGAGAAATAGAAACATGGCCGCAAAAATCATGCACACAGCTGTGTGTGATGACGCCTCTATACTAGTAAAAAGGAAACAACCAAAATTAATTCTCCCTGGACTCTAAAGTTAATGAAAATAGAGGCCAGCTGCAAGGAAGCTCTGAGTCGACAAAGCTGTCTGTCTGCATCAGGAGATCCCCCTGACCTTGCTCAGCCGGCCAACACAACCGAAACTCAAGCTACTTTTTATAAATGCCTATTTCACAAACGATTTAAACTCAACCAGTCAATAAATTGGTAATTATGGGATTTTTTCTCTTTAAAAAAAAAAAAAAAAAACTGTTTAGAAGGAGCTAAGATGTCCTGCTCATAGCCTTGACGGGTATAAGTATAGCGTCAGAAAGACAGGTGGACTGGACTCTGGTCTGAGCTACCAAGGCATTCTGTTTCTCCTGGACACAGACACAGCTTTTAGATGGAAGCTCACAACCATCAATTCATTTTAGTATTAATTTTTATTATATTTTATTTACTTGTTTTGTGTGCATATGTATATACATGCATGTGTGTATGTGGGAGTGTGTGTACCATGGCACACGTGTGGAGGTCAGAGGACAACTTCCAGGAGTCTGTTCTCTCCTTCCACCATGTGGGTTCTGGGCATCAAATGCAGAGAGCCAGGCTGGATGGAAGGCACTTTTACCCACTCAGCCATCTCACCAGCCCATAACCAAAGACTTTTCAATGGGAAAAACCACATAAGCAACTGTATGATTATAACCAGTTACATATTTCCTTTGTGCTACCTCTGTATTTTTTATAGTAGTGTTTACATTTATGCATGACATAAGGTGGCGGAGAATTGGGGCTGGAAATATGGCTCAATGGTTAAGAGCATTGGCTGCTCTTTCAAAGGACCCAGGTTTGAATCCCAGTACCCACACGGTGGCTAACAACCATCTCTAACTCCAGTTCCAGGGAATCCAAGGCCCTCTTTCATCCTCCTCAGGCACGACTCGGGTACACTTACATGCATGGAGACAGTACACTCATATACATAAAATAAAAATAATGCTTCAAAAAGATGGCAGAGAATTCTGTTCACACATGGCTCCAATGTCAGTTTCCTGATTTTGACACTTTACTGTAATTACATAATTACAATCTTTTGCTATTACCTTTGCAGCTTCCTGAGAATCTGCAATTATTTCAAAATAAACTTTTGAAAAAGAAATTATTAAAAATAAATACATTCTTTTTAAAAATAAAACACTGTGGATCTGGGCATGGTGGTACATGCCTTTAATCTCAACACTTGGGAGGCAGAGGCAGGCAAATCTTTGTGACTTTAAGGCCAGTCCAGTCTACATATCGAGTTCTAGGCCAGCTGGGGCTACAGGGAGACCCTGTTTCAAAAAGACAAATAAATAAGTAAATAAATAAATAAATAAAACCACTGTGGATGTCCAGAAGAGGCCCTTTCTGCATAGGAAGAGGTCTTAAAAAATTATCAATGTGGTGCCATTGAAATGTAAAGAAAATTATAGTTTCTCACCCCAGAAAAATACATTTACAAACTTATACACAACTTCACAGACTTTATCAACCCCAACTCAGTTAAGAGCTCTTCCTGTAGATACAAGATTAAGTGAACTGTAATCCACAGGCCAAATCCAACTGCTGTCTGCTTTGAAAATAACATCTTACTGGTACTTGGGCCGGCTTATTCAATTATAATCTGCTGTAACTGCTTTCCATCTGTTGTAGGAGAGCTTGCAACAGGAACCTTCTGGCCCACAAACTTTAAAACATTGTGTAACTGGCTCTTTTTGTCTTTTTGTTTGTTTTTTATTTGTTTGTTTGTTTTGAGACAGAGTCTCCCTGTAGCCCCAGCTGTCCTGGAACTCACTACATAGACCAGGCTGGCCTTGAACTCACGGAGATCTGCCTGCCTCTGCCTCCCGAGTGCTGGGATTAAAGGCGTGTGCCACCACACTCAGCATGTAACTAGCTCTTTATGAGGAAAGTTTTTTGATCCTTGGGTAGAATTCCATTTCTATAGCTTGACAGAACAGAGTTAATGAGAACACAGAGAAGACAGTTGCTGTAACATTCTAAAACCTGTGTTTCTTTTTGAGGTGCCTGGAGTTAATTATTTTTGCTTAGAAGTTAGAGACAAAAGTGGTACTTTAGAAAGGATAGCAACTGGAGTTGGAGAGATGGCTCAGCAGTTAACAGCACTGGCTGTTCTTGCAGAGGACCTGGGTTCAGTGCCCAACACCTACCTACATGGCAGTTAACAACCATCCTTAACTCCAGTTCTAGGGGATCTGATGCCCTCTTCTGGCCACCATGGGCAATGCATAACACAGACGCACTTACATATATGCAGGCAAAATACTCATGCACATAAAATAAAAATAAATAAATCAAAAAAGTTTTAAGAATGAGTAGCAGCTAATAATTTTAGGGCACCTTTATATGTGGGCTGTGCTTGGTGCTCTGAGAATGTGCCTAATGGACTCCTCTCCACAGCCCCCAGATGAAACTAGGCTCCTCTCCCTAGGACCTAGAAGCCCAGATCTACAGTCAGAATGTAGTAGCCCCAACAGCCTGTCTCTCTTGGGCTTAGATAGGGATGTGTGACTGGATCCCTCCCCACAGCCTACATCATATACATTATTCAGGGTATACTGGGAGAGCCCTCTTCCTTAAAACCTGCCCATCAAAAAGAAATACAATTTTAATGTAATACTGGAAAAACGTGCATTTATTTGTCTTCAGTGAGGAACAAAGGT